TTGGCATCAGCTGGAGTGAGACCATGCACAAAGGCAGCTGTTGGAGAGTAGTGGGACTATGGGAGGTTTTCATCCTTGTTCGACTTGTGATTTTCTGCACCCTGAGAAAATAGCCTTTGCTCTGTTCATGCAATGAGAATTTATAGAACAGATTTTTTTCATCTTTCTTTGTAATGTAAAAATTTCAACAGCAACATACGCAGGCTTTTATTCTAATATAAAAAGAGCTATATATTCTTTTCCTCTGACTCTAATCTCAGACCCAGCTTCTTGCTCCAGAGTAAAATCTATACACCTGCATCCTACAATGCTGTAATGAACAGTGCCACAACCTGCAGCTGTTCTGTCTTCCCAGTGAAGAGTAAAGTCAGGTCTGTAATTCTTCCAGCTGCAGCACTTCACTTTCCCTTAATGGCTGAATTACTCCCTTTAGCTAATCTGGTCTGGTAGAAAACTGATAGTGCAGTCATTATAAGTCTAAGACATCACCACATTAAAGACACTATCCCGTGGCTTTCTATGGGGCTTTCTTTCTACCTAGAATGATTTTCTACTTGGCAGTTAGCCTGGCTAAGTCAGATAAAAGGTATGCATTTCCTTGAGCTCTGTCTTGCTTTATATCTTCCTTAACCATGCTGGAACGTGAGGTTAATACAACCAACGATGTTTAAACTGTCCTTCCTTGGAGCTGTGGGCTGTAGGGTAGTTGAGGGCTTTCTCTGGGTATGTCCTGGAGGCCGTTGGCAGAAGAGCAAGGAGCATTCAAGAGTAGCCAAAATTGTTGAGACTCAGCCACAACTTTAGGTGGTCTATCTTGTGTTGTCAGGGCAGCTGGGCTGAGAACTTCTGCCTCTCATCATCTGCTTCTGTGGTCTGACCAACATGGTCACAGGGCTGAGCATTTGCAAAGCTGCAGGAGAGCCCACCTACGCTGTTGTTTCTGCCTTAACCCCCCAGCTGCTATTAACTACTGAGTATCCAGGCAAACACCCTGTCAAGAAATTTCTTTTACATATTGTCTTGCTGATCTTTATAGCTGTGGGCTTCCAAATCATATGCTGGTGTTTGTGCCCCCCTCCTCGCCAAATAATAACCACCACCAAAAACCCCACAGGGTTTGTGTAATTTGAGATGTGGCTTTCTTTGGTGCAGGCACAGCTTGCAGTCTCCAGTTCCACTGGCAGGGGATGGTTCCTATAATAGCTGTTTCAACAGCTGAATTTGTTTCTTAGTTCCTCATAGTACATAGGCACCATCAGTAAAATATTCTGCTATATTTTATTGATGTGATACAGTTTTGCACTCTATCCATTTCCTGACACAGCATCCATTTAGGCAAGAATGGATATCTTCAGTAGTGGGAAGAGTGTGTCTCTGGATGAAATTATGCTCCACAGAATAAAATCCCAGAGGACACAAAAAAAGCTGTTTTGCTCATTCAGCCAGTCTGATTCAAAGAACTTGGTTTATCTGAGCTTTACTAAACCATATTTTATTAAACCTGGTGTTACAAAGTGAACTACAAAACAATTTATCAAGAGCGCTAAACACAGTCAGTGGACTGTAGTTGTGAGTCAATTGGGATGGGTCCACACAGGTTTTGAGGCCTCCCTGTGGGGGTCTTTCTCCGTGCTCTGCCTTCTTTTGCAGCAGACCGGCTCCAGGGTGGGGTGACCCATTAATACTCTGCTTCTCATGGAGTTAGCTTGGAGCAGGACCCCCCCAGGATAGAGGAAAGAACAGCCACTTCTTGAATGGAGGACCCCAGTCTCATTGTGGTGGAATTTTAATGGAATTTGTAGGCTGCCTTTCAAAGGAACCTTAATTTCGGGGAAAAAACGGTCCCATCGAGTTATGAAGATGGTTAAGATGCCCACAGGCACACATGTGGGAAAATGGGAAGAGGGAAGACAGGCATAAAAGCAGGGGCCTGGTGCAAAGAGGCAGAAGCAGTGCAGTGGGGTTAGAGGGGAAAGCAGAGTGTCCTGTGGGGATAATGGCTCCTGGGAGCTTTATGGGACTGTACAGCAGCACAGGAACCCATCAGCCACAGAGGTGAGACTGCCATGCTGGTATGTTGCTGCAACAAATTAGGTCATCTCCTCTTCTGGATCCACAATTCTCCCTGTGCAGGGTGCTCTTTTGGGAGTTTTATGGGAAGGAGCAGAGAAATGGAAAACCAGAGCTTTTGTTCTCCTAGGAGAATGCCAAAGGAACCAGACTTTGTAAAGAGCAGGCACTCAGACCCTCTTGCTTGGCAATTTTATTTTGCCTTCCTAGAGCACAGCCAGGACTCTCTACTCAGCTTGGTTGGGCAAATAGGTTTCATCCCCTCGTCTCTCAGGGAGACTCCATGCAGCTCTGTGTGCAATGGGTTTACAGCAAAGCTCATGCTTCATGCACTTTCATGGGGGTAGTAGTCAAAAATGCTAAACCAGTACTCTTTCCAGTGCCCAACAAAGATTCATCAGGGTAAGGATAACCTTTTATTCCCACATGTTCTCCCTCTCTGTATTTTCTCGAACAGCTTCTGGCTGGGCTCTGTGAAGGTACTTGGCACAAGCATTCGTCTAAAATTCTGCTGCAGGCTTAAAGAAATGATACAGAAAATCTCATTTCAGGTATAAGCCTTCTGACCAGTGCTGCTTTCACAGCATCATTTTGTTTTGTTCTTTGCTGTTGGCATCGTGCTGGGCACCACTCCAGAGGGTGGAAGGAAAATAGGGCAGACAGGTGGCAGATTTTGGAGAATGAGGCCCTTGGCTAGGGGAGACATGAGGATTAAAAATCTTAATTTTTGTATGGGTTGTTTTGTCTTTTTTACTTCATGGCCCTTTTAAATTGTTGCCATCATATAGTCTGTGTCATCCTGTAAAGTGCCCTGACTGCTTTCACTGCTGTGCCGGAGGCAGATTAGAGTCTATGGTTAATTTGGGGATAAGTGCTTGTGGAATAAAAAGACAAAACAAAACATAAAAATTTGTTGAGCCTGTCTGAGGAGAATAAAGCAACTAAATCCGTCCTGTAAAGATAAGGTAAAGGAATACCAGATGGCAGATTTACACTTGTATGCGGGTGCTGAGTATCACCTCAAAAAGGCCCTGGTGATGGAATTGCTTATTTTATGTTACAATAATTAACAGAATGCATCTTGTCATGAAAAAATCCAGCAGGAGACATAGAAAGTTACAATTAAACATTCTCTTTATTGGGGCCTTGCTCTGAAATGGCACAAGTGATAAACGCTCAGAGTGCCCATCAGTGCTGCTAATGAAAAGACCCAGAGTTATGTTTTACACTTTTATTTGGATTTAGATCAACACTACAGATAAGATACTTTGGTCAAACACAAGAACAGATTGCTATGCTGCTCTTCCCTGGTTGCAATAAGTACAGAAAAAAAAAAAAACGCTGGTTCTCCTGAAACACCGAATATAAATCCTGGATTGGCACATACAGCTAATAAATACATTGTTTGCACTTTGCACTTCAAAACGGAATTGCACATGCAAGATGTAACCAGGCTACTGATCACCTTCATCACTGTCCCTGTACTATTTTTATTTTTTAAGCTCTTTTCTTGCCTTTTTCCCAGCAAGAAAAAAGAATGTAATTTTCTGCTCTCCTCAGCATTTCAGTGATTAGTCTGCTGGTTTTGACACATTTAGCAAAGTTCACATTGAAGTCCTTCCTGACAGAACTGGTATCTCCTCTATAGCTTGACTCGCAACACTGGGCATCGCAGGTAGCAATGGAAGTCCACCCAAGTGAGGTGAGAGGTCTGCCCTAAAGCTGACGAGGAGAGGTTAATACCAAGCAAAGCTATAGTAGAGGGACTGGCGTGAATGCAGTTCTTACAATATCAAGAGTCAATACTACTACCACACAAATAATGACATATCAATAATATATTGTACAAGCTTATACAGCAACACATGTTGATTGGCAACATTGTACAGTTTAAATCTAAAGTGCACAGCCTCAATCTGAGGTGACAAAACAGTACTATCAATATAATAAAGGCAACACAATTACAGACACAAGTTATTTCCTCTTACTTCATGTCCTCATGATATTACATTGAATCAATACTCCGTTTATCTATTTTAGATTAAATTAAAACCACATTGCACTTTTTTCTCTTCAAGTATTTTAGAGACAGCAAAACAATATTGCTTTACAAACAAAATTTGGCTGCTTAGGCAAAGTTAAAACCAACACTTTAGTAGGGTTATAAGTAGACAGGCCCGAGCTGCAGAACTCTTACCAACACCTCCAGATGTTGGAGGGGAAGAGGATAAATCAGTTTCCACCTCTAATGTTAAGGAATGATGCAGCACATGAATTCTGCAAGAGCTGTGCCCATGGTTTCTGCAAAGGCTGTGAGGCTCCATGAGGGCTGTTTTAGACAGATGTAGCCTTATCTCAATTTTTTCCTGCAATTTCAAAAGCTGTTGCAGACAAGGATGGAGTCCAACACTGGGAGACACCTTTGAAAGCAGTTTGTTACCTAGGCCCCCATCCCTGTCACTCAGATTACAGTCACATTTAATTCAGGCCTTGTCTTGCAGACCTGTACAACTGTATGAAGTCTTTACCCTCTTAATGTAGCTGTGAGGTTTCATACTATTTCTCTACTAAGAAATTCAGTCAATTTTAATTTTCAGTGTAGTTTTGGACTGCTCACAGAAATGGTTATGAGAAAAGCATTTATTCAGACATGTGACTTTTTTTCTTGAATAGGCTTTTTTACCACAGAACACAGAAACCATCCAATTTACTGATTATTTCAGTCTCGGTTAGCACTGTACATTGATTGTGCGTCTGCTTAGTTAGGCCAGGTGGGAAACATAATTAGGAATAATAGAATCCTATTGTTGTACTGTAATTGATCTTATTAAGTGGTTTTAAGAGCTGCAGTACTCTTGAGGTTTTTCAGGAATCAACCCTGGAGATGTACAATCTATATGACATGGACAAATGAGGTATTGGTACCTCTTAAGAATGTAGTATGTGGGCTTGTATTTTAAAATAAGCAGTAATAAATATTTGAGGCACCTCCTTTAAAAGAAAAAGAATCCTAGTTAATTTTCAGCTTCTGTCCTTGCAGTTTTATAACCCATATAAAATAAAAATATAGTTTACAAAATAGGATTTTTTTAATATATATATATTTCCTTTTGTAAAACTATACCTATTTAAATACATTTGAAATGTTACTATAGGTAAATTAGAAATTCTGTTCTAATACTACGAAAAAGGCAAAATACTTTCACTTTTAAACATACAGCTTGCATACTCTGCTTCTCACCGCCCCCTCCCACTTCCCCCAATTTAATTTTGTCATCATTTTGGGCAAATTTGGCGTCATACAATCTGATTGCTTTTAATTTAAAGTAGTTGCTGTGTTTAAACTGGGGATAAAGTTTTAAGTATCTTCTGTTCTTCCTTATTTGTTTCAATGCAGCTTTTTGTGCAGCTAATTATTAAGGAGGTATTCTAAAACTCAGGAAAGTACTTTAAAGGAGCCATGTTTCTTGATTTTAAACTGTACTCTACTCGAACGCCACAATATAGAAATAGATTTACTTTGGAACAAACTACAAATACATTCGCACAGTTTGTGACAACTTAATTGTCTACTTAGAGGTCCAGGAACAGACTTTCACATCCAATTATTATAAATCTTGTCCCAGGCGTTCTATTTCATCAATCAGGAAATCAATGTCTTGGTGAGTTGCTGCAGGGTTTGAGATGACCATCCGGAAGAAGTTCACTTTGTCACCCAGGGGCTGATAGCTCACCATGGTCGTGCCGTACTCCATCATCCGGGCTTTTATCACTGGTGCCACCTGCAGCGTAACAAAAGCAGGCCATGATAACGATGATGATTATTATAATTATTGTCATTATTTTCATTATTGCCATCATCATTATTATTGTAACAAACCACAGAGTATATTTTCCTTTTTTAAAAAGGATTAAGAGCGACAAGAAGCAGATAAAATGAAATTACATCTAATATTGATAAAAATGTTAACCTCCATTAAGGAATAAATGTCTCAGTGAAAGGACATTGGGTTTATCCTGTTTCTTTGTCCTGCTCTTCAAATCACTGCAGAATTTTTCCCCCTACTTTCTCAATATTGCTGGCAGGGACACAATAGCTGCTTTTTTTTTTTTTTTTTTTACTGATCAAAGCATATTACAATCATTTGCCACCTTTTTTTCACATGCCAGAGTGCCATGGTGTTATTGAGCTCTGGTTGTACTTGCTGGGTTCAGTGGTTGCAGTTCACAGTAACTTCAGGGAATATACACAGACAAGTAAGTGCTCTAGGGGAGAGGCAAACCCAGGGAATACCAAAGTTGGAGACCAGAGTAAGGTGATGCCAGACTAACCTGCAGTAAAACCTGGACTTGTGCAAATCATTTAACACTGTCCTGCATGATATCCTTGTCCATAAATTGGAGAGACATGTATTTGAAGGATGGACCACTCGGTGCATAAAGAACTAGCTGGATGGCCACACTCCAAGAGTTGTGATCAATGCCTTGATGTCCGAGTGGAGACCAGTGACGAGTGGTGTTCCTCAGAGGTTGGTATTGGGACTGGTGCCATTCAACATCTCTGTCAGTGACACAGACGGTGGGATCGAGGGCACCCTCAGCAAGTTTGTTGATAACACTAGGCTGTGTGGTGCACTCAGCATGCTGGAGGGAAGGGATGCCATCCAGAGGGACCTGGAGAGGTGGGACTCAGCCAACCTCACAACAAGGCCAAGTGCAAGGTCCTGCACCTGGGTCAGGACAATCCCAAATACAAGTACAGGCTGGGCAGAGAATGGATCGAGAGCAGCCCTGAGGAGAAGGACTTGGGGGTACTGGTGGATGAAAAGCTGAACGTGAACCAGCAGTGTGCGCTGGCAGCCCAGAAAGCCAACCGTATCCTGGGCTGTATCCGGAGAAGCATGTCCAGCAGGTTGAGAGTGGTGATACTCCCCCTCTACTTTGCTCTTGTAAGACCCCACCTAGAGTACTGCATCCAGCTCTGGAGCCCTCAACATAAGAAGGCTATAGACCAGTTGGAGCAAGTACAGAAGAGGCCATGAAGATGATCCGAGGGCTGGAGCACCTCTCCTTTGAAGAAAGGCCGAGAGAGTTGGGCTTGCTCAGCCTGGAGAAGAGAAGGCTCCAGGGAGACCTTATTGCAGCCTTCCAGTACCTGAAGGGGCCTACAAGGAAGCTGGGGGGGAATTTTTTTTACAAGGGCCTGTAGTGACAGGACAAGGGGTAATGGGTTTAAATTGAAAGCGGGGAGATTTAGATTAGATATCAGGAGGAAGTTCTTCCCGGAATGATGTGAGACCCCCACTACTGTGTAGGTAACGTGAAGAAACTCGTGCTCCTGCATCTCATGGACAAGGCTTTGATCAACCTGGTCTAGTGGAGGGTGTCTCTGCCCATGGCAGGGGGGTTGGAACTGGATGATCTTTAAGGTCCCTTCCAATCCTAAACATTCTATGATTCTATGAAAATGACCATGGAGATGTCATCTGTCAGAATATCATGAGGTGAGCTTGCCCTGTGCCCTGGGAGATCATTTTGGGAACTGCCTGCCTGCAAGGGTTTCACTGTTTACTGCATGATGTCCTGGAGGACGCTGCTTACCTTCATAAGGCGGCTCATTCTTTCTTCATTGTCTTCCATACTGCGCAAGCTGGGAGGTATATACCAGAAGCAGACGTTTGTGTGCTGAGGCTAAACACAGAATAATAATGGTTTACACAGTAAGAAATGCTCATAGTATCTCAATTGCAATTACATTCATGCCTTTCCTCTCTCTCATACATCATAATGTGACAGTAGTCAATGGTTTTCATTATTGTGGTCCACTGAGAGTCATCATCATTACTGCAGAAAAGATAATTTTAGGCAATTTATTCCCAGGGTGTCAGTTGTGGAAACACATCAACTAGCTGTGCAAATATATTATGCCCCACTTAGATGCACCTAGACTTTGTAGGTGCTGTCCCCTCCAGAGGCTGAGGGGATCATGTGGCTAAGGCAAGAGTCTGTTACAGATAATTTAGAGGTGAGGACCATGACATTTACTTTTATTACATGACAGAATAATATAGAAACTGGTTCTGTAAACAGGAGTCACAGGTGGTGTATGGGACAGTCCAAGATTTTCTTACATTTGATGAAATTTGTTACTTCTTCATTTGATTCAGCTAGCTGCTGTATCAACATGCACGCACCACAGTGTCTCACCTAGTTTAACTTACATGGGAGTACCAAGTAGAAAGGCATAAAGTAAGAACTAGTTGACATTTTGTGTATTCTTGCAATCTCCCAGCAGTTGTCTGCTGTGCTGTTCCCCTTTACTGGATGCTAAATGTGTGAGTTAGAGCAACTCCTACTGCTGCCAGTTCCTTTATTCATCATCAGACCCAGTGGACCAAATTCAGAAATAAATCACATAGCGGCATGTGGGTATGAGCCTGTGATCTCTTGTTTGAAGAAACACAGTGACGTTTATCCTTGTGCTCCGCAGCACTTAGGCACGCACTAAGTGAGTGTTACGAGGGAGCAATGCTTGGAGAGACAAAACCTTCCAACAAAGTACAGAGAGCAAAACCCATCACAGTTAGGAAGAAAAAAGCTAAAATGAGGTGGTTTTTTTCTCTTTTACAGGCATAACACTAGTTAATTTTGTAAGAGAGGTGCCTACCAGGCCTGTCACCAGCCACCACAGCTGGAGAGGTTTGCCCACAGAGATGGCCTAACACTGGCAGGTCCAGTTCAGAGGTACAGCCACAGAGCCCAGGCAGCACCACCTCGCCCCAGGCACTGTTCTGCAGCTGAGCACCAGGCACCCAGCGGTCCCACCTCAGCTAGACTCCCTCCACAGAAACAACACGCCTGGTGGTGTCACCTCTGCCACATGAGCCAGCTGGGCTCCCAAGCAACACTAGCCCCTGCCCTGCTGTGCTGCACCCCACTGCAGCAGGGACTGCAATGCACGTGGTCCCTCCGGGTCACCCCAGGTCCTTGCAGGTCCCCTGTGACTGCCCACCTGAGAATGCCAACAAAAGCGCTTTGCACAGCCATCCTTTCCGAGTTGTATGGGGCACTGTAACGCCCATTTGTAACAGACCCTGCTATTAGGAAACTACAACTTGTTTTTAAGAGCTAGTTCTAACTGTGTGTGTGTGTTGTGTTAACCTGAGGTGACAGTGTTCAGCTTCAGCTGGGTGAAACTGAGCAATCTGAAAACTTAAGCACAGCTGCCTCACGTCCCTTGTCCCTGGATCCTATGAGGAAGAGAGATACTGGTTTTGTTACAAGGGACACTGCTTTCTGTCACGTGCTGTTTGGTTTGACCTGCTGGTAGCATCCCAACAAATGACTAAGGCAAGTGCTGTTGACCAACTGGGGAAAAAAACTTCAATACATACCTTTCCATCAAACACCATTTCATACCCTTCTCTGTTCTTTATTTTATTGTATAGGTATTCTGCAAGTTCCAAGCACTTATCAATTTGTGCTTCAAATCCTGTGGTTCCCTTTAGAGACAGAGGGAGAAAGAACAGTTACGTGACTCTCTCTTCTGTAAACCAAAAGAGTGAACAGACCATGCAGCACTTGCCGAAGCACCTGCACAAGTCACCTCTCAGAAGTCTCTGCTGGGACAGATTAAGGATCTGATTCCTCGAGATGAAGGACACTCTGCTAAGCAGAGCTCGTTTGTCTTCAGCTCTTCCCACTGACCCCCTATATCCACCTCTCCAAAATAAGCTTCGTTTGCAGCAAAACATTGCTAACACCTCCGACGAAGGGTACCCCGGTAGATCTTGCAGAGAGGCTGAGCAGAGTTTTGCACAGCCTGGACTGGCACAGAAGAGGGTCTCTAAAAGATGTTGAGTTCCAGACATGGGGAGACCCCTGCTATTTTCAGAATAGGGGATTTGAATTTTCCACGGGTGATGTGCTGGGGGCTTTTCCAAGAATAATCCTTCTTTTTCAGTTAAACACAGAAAGGGCAGATATGCTTTTAAAGCCCGGCCAGATGCCTGTGGAAACGCACATTTTGCTCAGATGCTGCCCTGTCTCTCCAGTGTTTTTCTCTCTTCTTTTCTAACAGACACCATATAAACTCAGAAGCTGTGTTTTTAAGAGCTGCAGCAAATCCTGCTTTTTCTTCTCTGGCAGAAGTCATAATCCTCTCTCTGTGACATCATAATTGTTCCTGCAATCACCAGCTGTGATGCCACAAACAAAGGATCCAGCTTTATGGGGGAGGAAGGGGAATAGACAGCTGGAATAGATAAACTGTTTAAGAAACACACATCCTATTTTGTAACGTTAATATTACAAACTGGGTGTGAGAAGAGAAAAAGCAGTACAAGGCATATTGAAAAAATGGAGCCGAGAAGAAGAAATGTCTCTGAGTAATGGATGCATGTCCCTGCTAAATCTGTTCTAGCAATGCAGAACAGACTTAAAAGCCCATGTCATTATCCCTCTGTGTATAGAGGTTTCAAAACAGGGTAGAGCTAGCACAGGCCCAAGAGAAAGGCTTGGAGTAAAAGAAAGACGTGGCTAAAATTGCCTGCCACTCTGGAGACTCCAGTTAGCACAACAGCTATTGCAACCACAGAAACTTGCACGCTCCTTTACACACTCCCACATCTCCAGCTACATTTGCTGTCTGCCTCAGAACTGTTTTCAGAGTTTTCATGAAGCTCATGAGGATCATTAAGGCTTTCTGGAAATTAAACCAGTGATGTCATCTCCCCTGGACAAACCTGAGGCAACTTGACATAATAGATTGGATAAATAGATGGAAGAACTTATTCAGCAACATTCTACAAATACAGATGAATAAATCGCTAGAGTTGGGGTTTTCAGATTTCCCAGAGAACAGCTTTTGGTGAGTTTTCCTCTACACCTTCAAAAGATTATTTGTATCTACTGCATGCAATGAAAGTAGGTATTACCGTCTTTATTTCCCATGTTTAATTTCTGAATGTCATTAAAACATGGTTTTATTTCCAGAAATCTTCATAACAACATTTCTAGGTATATGATTTATGCTGTTACTCCTACAGTTACACAAAGCAAATGCTATGCAAAGCCATGGAGTTCAAGTTTCAAAATCATGTGTGCTGCTTTGAAGCTAAATTGTTAAAAGCATAAAAAGCCAGAAAATAATAATGTTCTTTCTTTCATGTTATATATGGGAAATTCAGGTCAGATATTTTCTAAAATGATGATTACAGGACCCCCCCACACACACACCCCCTGTATCTGGTGTGCATTATTTTAATGCAAACAAATACATTGCAGGCAGTCCTACCTTTGCCCTCCACATCAGCCATAGCTTGAAGACATCAACATGCCGTCCACATTGCAAAGCCTTGTCTCCCGTGTCGTAAGACAGGTCGTAGTGCTTGTCTTGTTGAAAGAGGTAGGAAGCATGCATTTGATTGCAACTCTGCATCAGTCCCTTATAAAAACAAAGACACAAAAAAATTATGTTGGCACCGATGTGACTACTGTTTTGAGGGTTGCTTTGGGCGAGAAATTACAAACACTCAAATTTGGTGGAGTATGTGTTCAAGTGCAAAAGGAAGATTTCAAAAAAAAAGGACAAAACCAAACTTAAGTGCCAAGTTTTTTATATCCCCTTCAATGCCCAGGACATGTTGGTATCTGATCCAGCAGTGAGTAATCCACTCCCAGAGCCAAGACATTTTTAAAAAAACAAGCTGGACATTGTGCTTCCCAGCATCATTATGCATAAGTGCATTTTTGGATCTTGTTTGTGTGCTGGTTTTGGCTGGGCTACAGTTGATTTTCTTCATAGTAGCCGGTATGGGGCTGTTTTGGATTTGTGCTGGAAACAGTGTTGATAACACAGGGATGTTATTGTTACGGCTGAGCAGTGCTGACACAGAGTCAAGGCCGTTTCTGCGCCTCACCCCACCCCACCAGCGAATAGGCTGGGGGGGCACAAGAAGCTGGGAGGGGACACAGCCGGGACAGCTGACCCCAGCTGACCCAAGGGATATTCCATACCATATGGCATCATGCTCAGCTTATAAAGCTGGAGGAAGAAGAAGGAAGGGAGAGGGGTTCAGAGTGATGGCATTTGTCTTCCCAAGTAACCGTTATGCGTGAAGGAGCCCTGCTTTCCTGGAGATGGCTGAACACCTGTCTGCCTATGGGGAGTGGTGAATGAATTCCTTGTTTTGCTTTACTTATATGTGCAGCTTTTGCTTTACCTGTTAGCCTGTCTTTATCTCAACCCACAAGTTTTCTCTGTTTTAGTCCTCTGATTCTCTCCCCCATCCTGCCGTGGGGGAAGTGAGTGAGTGGCTGTGTAGTGCTGAGTTGCCAGCTGGGTTTAAACCACAACAGCTTTTTATTCTTTGTTCTGGTTCCTTTTCCTCCTTTCCTTGGAAGGCATCTTTTCTGGTTCAGTCAGACTAACCTAAATAATATCATACCACTTTTCTAATTGCTTTGGTCTCTCAAATTCTGGTTTTCACTGTTTTCTTTCTTTGTATGCAAAGTTTTTTTCTGGAAAGCTCTCAGCTGCAGACTGGATGCTTAAAGTGTTACAGAAAGCTTTGAACAGACAGAAGGGCATACGGCCTTTAAACAGCCAGCTAGAGCTATTCCTTTGTTGCAAGATACCGTTCTGAGAGGCAGCTTTGTGGGAGGGCCAGAAGTCAACAAGGTGAAGAAACCTGGCTCATGAAAGCATGAGGTTTCCTTTTTAGCTTTGTAAGTGAAATGCAGAGAGTCATGTTCTGGCTCTGGTTAAGTCCTCAACCAAGCTTAAGGTATACCTTAGGGCTGTTGTCTCAAACTGCATTTTCCAGTCCAAGAAGAATCAAAACTTGGCTGTTTATCATCAAGTCTAATCTTTGTGTGTAGCTCAAAACTGAAGTAGTAAAATGAGAGGGGAAAAAAAAAATACTTTCTTCTAATCTGAGCCATCTGTTCTCACTAGAGGTCAAGGATGGTACTGACTGCAGCCAGGCAGGATTTGTCTCGGGTAACTGACCCAGGAGGCAAATAAAAGCCAGCTTCTCTCTTCCTAAGTGCAATCACTTTGTATACAATCTGTTGTACAGCTGTTAGCAAAACAGCAACCAGCTTTTTGATAGCTGGTCTAGTAAGTGGTGGTTGTAGAGCAGCTGTCCCAGTAACTGATGGTTACATGAAAATTAAAGGCTTGAAGGGTAATTCAAATTCTAGTACTAAATGAAATGTCTGCTTTTCATTCCAAGTGAACTTAGTGCTCCATTTTTACTTCCATGTGCCCCAAAATGGATATAAGGCTCAGAGCTGGGTGGAAATATCTATGATAAAAGTCAAGAAAGTGTAATGATGCCTAGATTCTGGACCAAATGTTGTGCTGCATGTATACTACATCATTCATCTCAAGAGGACTAGAGTTTGCCTACAGTTACGTTTTATGCTACACAGCAGCGAGTAGAGTTGCACAACTATGCACTCACAACTTGGCTACGGACATTTTGAGTGGAAAGCTACAAAATTCTGTAATGATATTGCCATTGGTCGGATCTATTATTTCTGCTAGACAGCTGCTTTAATTCCTCTTGCAGCCATAGCCTGAGCACATAACTAGAGGTCTATTTCCCAGTTTCTTTTATAAACCTCATCACATTAGCAAGCATTAGCTATGACACAGTTTTGAAGAAAACATCCAGGATTTACAGAAACAAAATTTCAGAAAGGATCAGAGAAGCAAAAACCTTGGGACATACCTCTTCTCTTACTAGCAGAGCTGAACACTGCAGTGGGACGCCCATCATCTTGTGAGGGTTCCAGGTCACCGAATTGGCCCTGGGACAGCAAATCACATGAAAAGCAAGACATTGTACTATGGTGGTGAAACCATGGAGACATTTAGAAATAATTAGAACAATAATGAACGTGTAGCAACGTGTACCTTTTTCTTTTTCTGAGCAAGCAAAGCCGAAAATAATCATGGCTGATACTAGGAAAGCAATGCCTTCCTAAGGGACCTAATTCACTCTGGTTGGTTTCTGGATGACAAACGTGCAACTTACCACAGGGTAACTGCTCCATCCACTAAACTTAATCAGTATTAAACTTTCTGGGGAGTCATCTATACTATATAAACATAGGGCAAACTCCCTAAAAACACCCATTTGACTGATGAACTTTCTGAAGTCATACAGCTGATTAAAGATGCAGATAGAAAGCTGCAAAATCACCACAGCAATAAACATAGAACTGATCTACCCTTCCACAAGAGAGGCTGATCCTCCTTCCCCTTGGGACCCATTCACTGCAAAACCAGCTGTCAGCCTAGATCTTCTGAATAAACAGGGTGCTGTCACAATACAGCCTCGAGAAGAGGCATTAGGGACTGTGGCAAGGGCTGAAGGGAAGATTGTCCAGTTTATTATTTTAATTTTGTGTTATGCTTGACTGGCTATTTCTTAATTACTATTATTACACAGGATGATTAGCAGATAGATGTATACATTCGCATCCTATTTGGCAGGCTGTCAAGGATGCGCAGCGCATAGGATTTCATGTAGTGCAGTGATTTGAGTTTTGATGGTATAAATTGGTATAAATCAGTCAACTGGGGCATGTTATAACTTAAAGGACTGAGGACACACTTGCAGGTAACTTTTATGTGAACAGAGGTGAGCACGCTAGAATCTGGCAGTATTCTCCTTTGTAGACTTGGAGACATCATTACAGGTTTATGCATGTCATTTCCTGACAAATTGTTTCCACTCCTTCCAAGCAAGCAACTCCAAAATTCACATGAATGTCGGGCAGCACTTCTGTGCTTTCTTCTTTGCCATTTAAATGGGACTACACAAGTGCCTGATACAAAATCTATAGGGAACAGGCTTCCACAAGCAACATCTGGCCACTTGGCTTAGCTTTTCAAGTATTTGGCAGCCTTTAACCAGCTCAGTCAGTCATCTGATTACAACACCAAAGCTAATGATTCTGAACTTCCATTCAGGTCTATGAATTTCCTTTGATATGATACTTTCTAATTTTTATTATTTTATGCAGAATCAGGCAAGAATTCTTTAAGAGACTTCTAGTTAATAGTAGTGGTATGGGTTTTCTAAGCAAAAAGATTATTTATTGACCACTGCCAGATGTTAATTATCTGCCTAAAACATTTAATTTACCCTAAGGTCATTTATTTCTCCAATTACATCCCAACTGCACATAGAAAAAAATTAATTACGTAAAATAAAAAACCCTACCATTTTTCATTTCTTATCAGTTACTCTGGTCTTCAGTCATCAGTGCTTGAAGAAATTGCTGACTGAGACAAACAGTGAAGTAAAAAAGCTGTGTGGATCCACAGCATTTTTTTTACAGTGCCTCACTTCTGCTCAAATAAATGAGCACCAAGCACCCATGTGGGGTTTTTTTTGGCTGTGGGTCACAGATAGAAAAAGAAAAAAAAGAAAATTTTTCCTTTAGAGATTTCAAATGGATGACAGGAATGATTCAAGACTGGCAGAATTTGGTCCTCAGCCATCACTAAGAAGAGACTGAGGTGCATTCAGTGACCAGCCACAGCCCCAGGAAGGATGTCCAGACCCCATATGGGAGCACTCATCCAGCTGCTTTTCTCACATAGCTGTCACCCCCTGCCCAAGCCTTTGGGAGAGGGACTCCAAACTGAAACTCCTGATGGTGGCCAGACCTATCTGCTCCAGACACCAGGGACATGCTTCCTTCAAGGTGCCTTGAAGCAGCCTGAAAACCTGCCATGTGGGGTCTGGAGGGCACGGTAAGGATGGTCCTACAACTCCTCCTGCCTTTGACAGGAATATTTCTGCTGCACTGCCTGTTACCAGCAGGATGTGAGTACTCAAGCACAGGGTGCTCCATTTAATGCTTCCTCCGTGTACCTTTCTTCCCTATCAAACACGAGCACCAGCTCCAGTTCTCTTCTATCCAGATCTGCAATGACTGCGTTGTACTCGAATTTCTACCATGAAACAGGAATGTCCACAAAAGTCGGATCTAGTACAACTGCTCTAGAGGTACCCACATCTGAGATCTGGAGAAACTGAAACGAGCCACTGTGTCGTGGAACAGCACTGGAAATGACACATTTCATTAATTTATTGCCAAACATATGAAGATGATGATTATCAAAGCACTAGATAAATCCAGTGGAGTGCTGGATCTAATGCATATAATTTGGAAAATTTTCCAATATAGATTCAACCTAAACTTCTAATTCCAGCAGAATTTGGACAGCAATTTGGGAGGCAAACTCTTGTTTTCCATACTTTGCCCTCACAGGCAACTGGGTAGATTTCTAATTTGCTGGATATTTGGATGTATATCCTTTTAACACACAATATGTAAGTTTGGAGTGCTGAAGGCAGTCTTAACTAAATCAAATTCATAGAACTATTGGCTGCTTTCCAAATTTTGCATGTGAGACGTATGAGAAAGGAACTGAATCATCAAGGTATCTTCCTAATCTTCACAAATAGGATGAGGAAGTTGTTTGTAATTTTATTTGGCAAGGGACAGCAATCTGATTTAGAGATTTAAAAGGCACAGGGGAGCAGTAATTTACTCTCAAACAGCATGAGATTCAGAAAATACACAAATGTGACAGTGTCTCCATCTAGCCCAGGATACTGTCTCTATAAATAGGCGTCTGGCAACAATACAAAACAGCACAAGCATATCTAAACTTTCTTAAATATTCTCTGAGCTCCCACTCATTTGTGGCTCACAGAAGTATCAAATAGTTTTTGTCTTTCCTTGAACGCAAACAAATCTTAGCATACTACAGCAAGTAATTCCACAGCTTAACTGAAATATTATGAAAAAGGAGTTGTTTTTAGGTTTAACCCCAGTCCTTCCAGACTCCGAACTGGGCTGGCATCACTTATGTTCATCTGTATGTATATGTAGTGTTCACGAGCTCATGTCTACAACTGTGTATATATCCAAGCACAGATTTACTGAGAAGATATCATTAACACAGCCTGGAGGGGCATATTTTCTCCAGAAGTGAGAGAGCAGTGGTCAGTGACTGCCAGGACACCTGTCTGAACTGCAGGTCCATCCACCTTTTATACAAGACCTCCAAGGTTCATTTCTTAGGAGAAATGCAATTGCTAATCCATGCTGGACACTGAATCAGAGAACGCTGCAGAAACCACCCTGGACCTGCGAATGTATGCTGGAAGGAACAGAAAAGCAAACAAGAAATGTCTGCTGTTTGTACCACAAAACCAAGTGTCACACTACCATAGCACTGAACAAAGGCAGTTAGCGATGCCACTTCCACTGGAAGGGCAGTCTGCATCATTTTTTCATACTGTATCTTGGAGGTAACACTGATTTTTATTTTTATTTATGGATGTTGCTATGGTAATCACAAGTGCATTAAAATGCATTTAATAAATGTGTTTAATTAACATTAATAAATCATACCTTTCAACGCCATTTAACTTCCATTTGTGTTTTCTTGACATCAGGAGCCCGCCACCCCATGCTCCCTAGAAGGCAAGACACATTATCTTAATGAGAACTCTGCTTTTCTCCCTGATGACATCTGTGTGTTCACATCAGTTTGGGGCCTTTCTTTTTTCTTGCTGGTGTAGCACATTTCAAAATGACCAGGCAGATGGGGCCTGAGGCATTATCTGTACTAACAATTTTCTTCCAGTAGCTTGGAAGGAGAAGTTTATAGCCCATAATCTGTGTACCAACCCTTGTAGTCTGCTCACCCCTCCCTCCCCACCCCCTCTGACACTGACACACTGGGCTGCCCCACGCTGTAACTGAGGACTTGCAGACCTGCTCCTCGGCAAGCTGCTTTTTCTCTCTTAGCAATAAAGTGGTGATAACAAACCAGACTGAGATCTCAGCTGCTCTGGTGAGTTTTCACCGTATTTCAGATCACTACTGCTTGTCCCCTACTCATTTGCTTTGGCTCACAGAGATCTGGGACAAGCAGGCATTTCATGTGACTGAGAAGTAGTTTAAGGTAAATACGAATTCTTCCTTTGAACTGCAGTGATCTTGGCTGACACAATAATCCAAAAGCAAGACACCCACCCTACGGAAATTCAATTACCAAGCCTTTTTGGAGAAAGGATTTGCAAAAATGACACAAAAGCCATTCTAGGGCTGAAAGATTATCCTTCAGAAAGATTTATTGGCAAGAACCCAGATAAAGTTAAGTATCCAATCTGATAAAATTTCTCTAGCATTTGCATTAATCTGTTCAGCAATTTGGGATACCTTACTCCAGACAAATGTTGCCTTTTCCTTATCTATTTATTTTGCAGCTGCTGCAGAAGCTGGGCCAGTCCTCAGTATAGTTCTCATGTATTTCTTGTACCAATGGCATTTAGAGATAAAGCTGAAGGCCAGAAGCACTCAAACTAGGTCATCCTAAGTGTCCTAGTTGCTAGAAGTGCCCCACAGTCACAGCTCCTAAAATGTTCCTTTGACCTGAGCCTTTCAGAAGAACTGTAAGTCAGCGCTTGGATGTCAGACATAATTACAGGAACCAAATACGGTTTTGTACACGATGACGGTCCAAAATGAGTAAGTTAATGCAAACACATGCCGCAACCCAGCCCCCCATGATACTTACATCCACGTGCATCCAGATTTTGTACTTCTTGCAGATGTCCGCAATAGCTATGAGAGGATCAAACGCCCCGTACACTGTCGTCCCAGCTGTAGCACTCACCAGGAAAGGGACAAATCCCTGCAATAAGGCACAGAGGCATTTGACAAGGTCAGGGTGCTGCAGCCTCCTCAGCCTGCCCCCACAGTGAGCCCACAGATGTCTCCTAGAGTACATACCTACTATGTTACACTGGGGTTTCTACTTAGATGCTACTGATATTACAATTTCTACCTTAAGGTGGCAGCAAACTTCCAAACCATCATCCTCCATTTATTAAGATGCACTAGACAGGTAAGAGCTCAGAACAATTCCACTCCATGACACCTGCCCGGAACACAAAGACTTGCTCTGCACACCGTCACGTACAACAAACCTCACCCAGGCACCACGGTGCAAGAACTGTCTCTGGTGGGCCATGCCCTGGGCTGCACTGGACTGCCCAGCGAGTGTGGTGACCCGGTCCTGTCCACTGGAGCATCTTGTCATCTCCTGGGGGCAACGCAGAGGGGAGGTGTGGGGCAGAGCAGGGAAACAGCAACCTCCAAGGAGGACAGGGACCATCTCTTGGAGTCCTGCTAAATCCTGTGCCTCACAGGGGAGCACTCACTGCCCGTCACATATCATAATTCATACCAGTGTTGAATTATTATTCAATTATATTATTATTACACTTCTCCAGTGTTGGAGAAGAGAAAGCTCCGGGGAGACCTTACTGCAGCCTTCCAGTACCTGAAGGGGCCTACAAGGAAGCTGGGGGGGACTTTTTACAAGGGCCTGTAGTGACAGGACAAGGGGTAATGGGTTTAAATTGAAAGTGGGGAGATTTAGATTAGATATCAGGAGGATGTTCTTCCCGGAGAGGGTGGTGAGGCACTGGAACAGGTTGCCCAGAGAAGCTGTGGATACCTCATCCCTGGATGTCTTCAAGGCCAGGCTGGATGAGGCTTTGAGCAACCTGGTCTAGTGGAGGGTGACCCTGCCCATGGCAGGGGGGTTGGAACTAGATGGGCTTTAAGGTCCCTTCCAACCCTAACCATCCTGTGATTCTATGATTATGTTGATTTCATAAGCATACTCAAAGCAATAAAGGTAAAACATGCTTTGCAGAGATGGGGTTTAAACTATTGAAAAGGTCTAGGCTGTGCTCTGCGAAGTGAAATACATGGTCAGTAGGTTTGGGTGGTATGCTACTGCTTTTTGTTTTTATCTATTATTTTGCTTTTCTTAAACCAAGTAAGCTTTTAACGAAGATTTGTGTTATTAATGAGCTTTGAATGCTGTGTTTCTAATGATTATTTACATAAATGTTGTTGAAGACACAGGCTAAGTTCATTGCATACTTTAATATGTTGTTTTAATTCTAGCTTCTTCTAATGAACACATACAACAGTACTGCATTTTTAGAGATCTGTGGATTTTAGTTTATCTCCCATTGATTTGGTGACTATGAGGGATACTTTCAACACACTACAATATATACAAATTCCCCAAATGATTATTTTTGCCAATATTCAGCTGAAGAACTGCATCATAGGCTGATAATATAAAAAAAGGAGGATGTTATGCAGAGGAACACATTAAAAAAAGCCAAATAGCTCATGGAGACTATAAAGCAGCTCTAAACCTGTTTTTTCAGCAACACTTGCTTCATAAATTGCCAGGGTACATTTCTGAGAAATAAATAAAAAGTCAATGGGTAAGCCTATGTTGTTCTACCGAGGAAAGCAAAACAACTAACTGTATCATTCTTGGTGGTGGGTTTTTTTTTTTTTTTCCTGGAAGCAGAAAAGCTAGTAAACTTACTTTTTGTTTGGCTTCAAGTATCCTTCTTTCAAGGTCTGACGGGATCATTTTCCCTCTGGACCAAGAGAGAATTGTATTAGAAATCTGATGTTGAAATCAGCTCTTGCCCTTAGATCTTCAAACCCAAATAGGGACCAATAAGCACAGAAAGATTCTGACCATTAGTCTGAGTTTTTACCCTAATTATTTTGTCAACCAGTTTGCATCACTATGGTGATGCTCACTGAGAGGAGTTATCTCGGGGTCACCTCCATTAAAGACTGATGAGCTCCATGGCGCCTCCGAGTTCTGTTTGATGTTCCATCCCTGGGAACATGCTCCAGTCTCACAGGGAGAGGCTGAGCTCAGGGTCTCAGGAAGTTCGCTGTGTGACAAACCCCACAGTCTCCGTTCATGCCTTGAGCAGCATGACTCAGCTCTGGTGTAAGCAGTTGTCTCTGTGTTTCCATCCCAGGGGTGAACTTGTTTCAGGGCCACTATTCCATGGTTTGGTTCATCACCTGTTCACATTCGCTTGAAGCAGGGTACAAGAAGAAGCTACCAGGCTGGGCTCACCCTAAATGCACCATCAAGTCCTTTGTACCGACTATATACTGTCTTTGCAACACATCTAGTATGAACCACACACATGAGATTCAGACTCAGCAGTATATGGCTTGAAGGCTAATTCATGAAATCCTGTAAATGAATTAGGTAAAACAGTGCTGATATCGAATACTGTGGTTAAGAGTTTTCTTTGCTTTAGCCACAAGCAAGACTAGCTAAGAGAGTATGCGTAACAGCAATTCACACACGACGGCTCCCCACATGACAGTAATAAACTCTTCACTGGATTTAAGTGTTGTCCATTTAGACTTGATGCGTACATGTACTTTGAAGGACTTTTTTAGTTTTTAGTATAGTTGGACACATTTTTTTCCATTGCTAAGCACTTTTTCCTGCTGCTAAGAAAAGCCTCTTTAGTGATCAAAATAGCAGTTTTAGGGAATCAACTAAACCTATGAGTTCTAGTTATATCTCTACATTACTAATTTTTTGTAATAAGATACTGCCAGGTGTTCTAAGTTTTCATCCTTACACAGGTCACAGTAAATCAGTCATTATTTCAGTAGCAAAGGGTTTGCAATGATGAGTTTTTTTGCAAAATATGTCTAAAAATTAACCCTGATTTGTCTCATGGAAGTTCAAGGTCTAAAGAATATTCAACTCATTTTGAGTTCCCCCGAGTTATACGTACATATTCAGGGAAAAACAGTAGTTGTCTTATCTTAAAAAACTCTTTCTGGGATCATTAGAGTAATAAAGAAAAGAAAACCTGCCAAAGGAAGGCAATGAGTTCCTCATCCAAACATAATTTAGATGCTGGTCTTGAACAGTTTCTAATTTATTTGGCTTGTGCATACAAACACACAAGGAGCTGGGCAGAACCCTTCACTGCCATTTCTTTTTTAACCAAGACAAGTAATTATCCAGCCCGTGGTCATGCTGGGTATGGAAAACTTTACCAAGGAGCAAGCAGGAGGCTGGCTTTGGGAGAAGCAGAAGAGAGTCAGCAGCAAAAGGACACTGAGGATTGAGTAAGTGTTGATGTCAAAGACTTCTTGTATGATGAGCTCCAAAAACTGACTCTTAAAGAAGCTACTGACAGAGCCAGTTCCTCAAGTGGGAGAAATCAGTGCAAGGCTGATAAAAATGACAGCGCTATAATGAATTACACCAACCGTTGACTGCACCCTATATGCTCTCTCCTAGCTGATCACCTGATGATCCTCTTCCACGTACTGATAAAAAGAGCTGTATTTGGCATCTTTACTTACCTTTCATCACACCTAATCAGAATCACACTATCTGTACCAATACCCAAGGCCGCAGCTCCTTTCTTCACAGAAAAGTGACTCTGAAAAAACGCATTTATTATTATTTATTATTTTTGTTCTTATTTCTTATCCAATTTAATATAAAACACTACACTCTTGCAAGCCCTTCAGCAAGTAGTCCCACACAGGCAGTAATTCTATTCATACACTTTTTGGAAACTGATCACTGCAATTTGAGGCTTCGTATCAGGTCAATTAGAGAAACAGCAATCACTCTAATCTGGATTTTCTCCTGGAATATTAAATACACAACTGTGGCTGATGATGGATCCAAATTCTGTCCTTGATGCATACCTGCAGCTTCTATTGCTTCTATGGATTTGGCTATGAACCTGATTTACTGAAACAAAAAATTCTCCACTAGAGAATTAATTTTCATTTAGTTTGTGACATCCTGAGCAATGTGCTTCTGCTACGTAACTTCTGGCCAAATAATGTACTGAGAGAAATTAAGATAGGAAGCCTAATTGTGATCTCATGCCAGTGAAAGCTAGTAATAACTCCCATTAACAAACAGAGCTACGGCACTTTAAAATCAGAACTGGGCTATGAGTGAGACTATTAGTTAACCTGTATGTGCAGAATAAAATACGGAAGTTATATACTGGAGTCAGCCTAATTTTCTCTAGCTCATAGACTTAACTCCTGAGACAGTGTTGGTTTGCAATTCTAATTTAAATCCTGGTGATTATGATCATGAAATAGTTTTATATCAAATTACGCCACCACGAATCTGATTTTGTATTAACTCTAACCCAGCTGTAACAATATTCTCCAAAGTAATCTTAACTGCAGATTATCAAACTTAAAAAAAAATTAAATTCTCCATGTATACTAGAGTACCATTAGTTTAGGATTTATCACTATAAAAAAGATCACAGAGATAAAAATCTAACAAGGCTTTCTAGGTGTCCATGGCGTTGAAGAAGAAAGGATAGTCTGCAGAAGACCACAAGGCAGAGAAGTAATCGCTATTGCTTTGTCAAGGGAGTATTCAGCTCCAATGTTAATGCGAGCAGCAGAGAGCTGTAGGGA